TTTAAAAAATTAAAATGAAAAAGTATTTTTAAAAATTTGAAAGTTTAAAAGATTTATGTATTTAATGTGTTTTATCTGTATGTATGTGCTCCATGTTCATGACTGGTACCTGAGATGATCAGAAGGTGTTGGCTCCCTGAAACTAGGTCTGAGATGTCATGTTGGTGATGGGACCCAGTGTTCTGCAAGAGCAGCAAGTATTCTTACCTAGAGAATCATCATTTTAAAGGATGATGCTTAGTTTTGTATAGTTTGAAGTGTGTTGGTGAGGATAGCACATACAACTAGACTGGGTTCTGATGTAAAATGTTTATAAAGATCTATGCCATTTCTTAAAACTCTACTTCTTGAGCATTATATACATTTAATGATAGCTTTTAATTTACCATGGGCAAAATGTAATTCGTGATAAAGGTGGACTGTTCTATCACAGGCACAGTTGGAACATTCATTCCTTGTGAGCTGCAGGTCTTCTCTTGTCTGTAGCTGGCTGTCAGCTGCCTCTCCTGTTTCCTTTTGGTAGCCTGGAATCTGGAACTTTGTGTCCTTCTGTGCCTGACTGGATATCACTGTAGGGCGTTTTTGAGACATGTGACTAGGGTTCTCCAACAGTGCTTAGTTGTAATGGGTTTGAACTGTAGCTGAAACTTTTTTGACATAGGATGGATAGATAGATTTTTTTGAGACCACAGATAACATACAAAAACATTGGATCTTTTTGATGTCTTGATTTTTTTATATTGTTTAAAATGTAGGACAATAAACAGGGCATATCTTTAAAAAAGAAATAAAGTCTTAAAGATATATGCTGCTTTGGAATTCTTAATTATCCATGGAATAGTTATAAGTAATTTTTGAATTGATGTAAACCTAATATATATCGCTTACTTGATGGAAAAATGAATAATTTTAGACTGGTATCCAATTAATAGTGTTATTATAGACACAGTAGTTATGTTTCAGCTTATGCAGCTTGTTATAATTTGAAAGGGTTATAGAATATATGATATTAAATGAATGGATATTTTCATTTTTTAAAAAAGATCTATTTATGTATTTTATGTATGTGGGTGTTTTGTCTGCATGTTCATTTACACACCAGAAGAGGTCATCAAATCCAGTTTATATTTGGTTGTGAGCCACCATATGAGTGCTGGGAATTGAACTCAGGATTTCTGGAAGAGCAGCCAGTGCTCTTAACCACTAAGTAATGTGTCCATTCTCAGTGTTTTAAATTTTGTAATGTCAAAAACCCTTTTGCATGTCAAGATTAGAACTTAACAAATGTGCTTCGGTATCTTCAGTATACTTCTTGAAGTCATCCGTATGGTCACATTCTAGTATTGAAGGAACACTAGGTCTGTATATAAATATTTTTACTGTTTTGAGATACCAAATTAAAAACAATGGGCCACAGAGTTGATGAGTGTATAATAAATGTTAAACTTTGGGAGATAAAGGACACTCAGTCACTCAGATGTTTTTAGTAGTTTTTTTATGCTTTCATCTTCCAAAAGAATTATTTTTTCTTTTTCTGAAAATAGATTTAAAAAATTGTTTATGTATGTGAAGTACATTCAGAGGAAGAACATCTCCTGAGATTAGAGTTTCAGATGGCTGTGTGTTGTCATCTGGGTGCTAAACCCATATCCTTTACAGGAGCAGCAAATACTCTTAACCCCAGAGAGCCATCTCTCCAGCTTGCCAACCCCCAAAAGAACTATTTAGATTAAAACAAAAAAGGAAATTGGCTGGGCAGTGATGGTGTACGCCTTTAATCCCAGCATTTTTCAGAGGCAGACAGATTTCTGAGTTCGAGGCCAGCCTATACTACAGAGTGAGTTCCAGGACAGCCAGCCAGGGCTATACAGAGAAACCCCCCTGTCTCAAAAAACCAAAAACAAAAAGAAAAAAGAAAAAAGAAAATTGATGATTGATGGGGTTTGTATTTTTAGTTATAGCTTGTGTATTTTAGCACCATTGGAGGGATGATGCCCTTTAAAAATATTTTAAATGTTACTCTTTGGCAATTTAATATCTATGTATATTTGTGTTTTTTACCCTCTTCCCCCTTCACCCCCCCCCCCATATACATGTACCAGTTTGATCACCTCCATATTCCTCCTCCCACTTCCCTGGACTCTCTCAATGCTTACCTTCTCCACTTCCATGTGTTTTCCTCTTCCTCCTCCTTTAGTAACTCACAGAGTCCAGTTAGTGCTTCCTGCAGGAACATGTACAACAACCACACTGCAAAGAAGAACTCTTCCACCCCAGCAGCTCCTCAGGGGGAGGTGGAGTCCCTTCCCTGTCCATGCTGGGATCATTGTCTGGCTTGGTCTTTCATAAGTGACCCTAGCTACTCTTAGATCATGAGTGCAACGGCTGTGTCATGTCTGGAGGGCTGTCCTCTGTTCTGTAATGGTCTGTGATTCTTATGGGAGGTGATAAAGATTCTCGTTTAGTATTGGACACTCAGTTTCTTATTCTCAGGACCTTACCAGTTATGAGTTTCTGTATTGATACACGTTGTAATTAAGTTTGAATTAAAAATGTAGATGTTTTAAGTTTAGAATTTATCACTTTTGAATCCTAATATTTTTTCATTTGCTTATACTTAATAGGGATTTTATTTTAGACTGATATCCAAACCCCCAAGGCAGTGCTGAAGTGCTGGATATCTTATTTACTGTTGCATAATAAATTATCTCAGATCGTTAAGGGCTTAAAGCAATACACATCTTGCAGTTTCACTGGGTAAGCTGCCTCTGGTCTCTTTTTTCTTTTTCTTTTTCAGACCCACAGTTTCTCTGTGTAGTATTAGCTGTCCTGGAACTAGCCCAGTAGCCCAGACTAATCTTTAACTCAAGAGATTCCTCTGCATCCCCATGCTGAGATTAAAGATGTACACTACCACATTCTGCTCTTGGATCTCTGCTGTATGAGTTTGCCAGTGGGCTTTCCCTTGGGACTCCCGGCACATCTGAAAGCTTGTGTGGACATACTTTTCATGTGGCTCTTGACCAGATTCCGTTTTGGTGTTTGTGGATCGAAGGGCTTGGTCTTCACTGTTCTTGGTACTCCCTTCTATCGCTTGGTTGCTGTCTGCACCTTGTGTAAAGGTAGCTCACTGTTTGTCTTCCTTCAGTGCAAATGAGCAAGAGATAGGTGCATCTGAGACCTGTACAACATCATTTGAGAAGTGACATCTCAGAATTTCATATTTGTTAGATGCTGCCTAACAGTTTACTTTTTAAAGATTAAAGGAGGGGAGGGGGCTCCAAGGCACAATAATTTGGCAAAGGCTCAAATGGTTATTGGACTGAAACTAAAAGTCACCAGTAGCCAGGTCCTCTGTGACATACCATTCCCTTAGAAAGTTTGAGAAACATTTAGAAAAGAAATATATACAGGTGCTGAGAACACTAGTGAGAAGTCTTTAAAATTTCCAAGTAATTGTGTGTATGCACACATGTGTATGTGCATATGTGTGTGTGTGTATACATGTAAGTGTTCATGCCCATGCTTGTATGTGGTGGCAGAAGAATGATGTTAAGTAGCCTGCTGTATTACTCTGTCTTATCCCTTTTGAGACAGAGTCTTTCACTGAATTTTCAGGGTACATTTTTGGCTAGGCTGACTGTGAGAACAGAAGTCATCTTCCTGGCTCTGCATCCTTCCCTCAAGCACTGGGTTTACAGGTTCTTACGGCTGTACCTACCTTTCTTTCTGGCTGTTGAGTGTCTGAACTCAGGGCACCATGGTTATGCAGCAGGCACCTTTACCCACTGAGTTCTGTCTCCAGCTACATAGTAACTTTGGACAGACTCTGGTTTGCATCCTGAGAAAGTGATAGACCAGTGTGTATGTATGTCTGAGCATATGTACCTCTGCTTCTGAGGGGAGGTCAGTTTTACAATTTTACAACAAGTATTTCTGCCTAAGTGATGGCATTTAACTTCTTTGCTGTTTTGTTTGGTAATTTTTATAATGGTAGGTACTGGTACATTATATTTTATGTGAATTTTTCTATTATGACAATCCATGCTTTATTTATATATAAATTTGTGTTTTCCTTTCTTCCTTTGTCATCTATTTAAAACTTAAATATAGAAGAAATTTACTACATGAAACGAATCAGAACCAATGTGTTAGGCCCTAAATGAAAGTAAATCCAAATTTAGTTACAGGGTGAGTATATCATTAATAGAGGTCTAAAATACTATTTTTTAATTATGTGTGTGGATATGTGCACACAGTGTAGGTGCCATTGGAGGCCAAAGGGGTTGATTTCCCCTGGAGCTGGTGTTACAAGTGTTTGTGAGCTGCCCCACGTGGGTCCTGGTAATGGAACTCCAGTCTCCCATAAGAGCAGAATGTGCTTTTAATTGCCGAGCTACCTCTCTCTTTGCCAGTGATTATTTTTTTAAAAAGCAAACATTATGTACATACTATTTTTATATTGATAATAGTAAAAGCAAATACCCATCTAGGTAATTGTACATAGTATTTTTATAACATCAAAGAGAGTACTTCTATGAGTTGCATCTTCCTTGAGGGGGTGGGTTCAGTGTTCAACACCCGACTGTTTAAAATGTTGATCTGAAACGTCTGCCATTGCAAATAGCTTCCCTTTTGCTTGGGTTGTCTAAGAACTCCAGAGCAAGATGGTGCTCAAGGTTTAACAGTTGCAACCAGCAGTGTTTGTTATGGCAGCCACTAGTCATGGCTGTTTACTGAAGTTAAGATTAGCATTCAGGAAAACGAAACATTGGCTTTCTTGGTTGCACTAGCCACATTTTATGTACTGACTCACATACATGGCTGTTGGATTGGACTGCAGAAATATAGGACATTTATCATGATACAAGTTCTGTAATAGTCTAAATGATTCTATTTTATTACTGGTTTTGGTAAATAGCATGTGTTTAAGAATATCCAGTAGTTGTAAACTGGTAAGTTGAACTTTTATTTCTTTGTTTTCATTTTCTAGTTTTTTGGAGCCGTGAGGGATACAGAAGTTTGATCAATATTGTCTTAACATGCTTCAGATAAATCAGGTGAGTCTGATTAAGGCGTGTCTTGTTTACATGGCACTTCGCCATAAACTGTGGAACATTGTATCTCAGCTATTCTGTAACCATAACCTGACTGCTACCTTATGGAGAATGCATACTGTATAAACACTGGAGCCTGGAAAGAGAGGCTGTTGGAGGAAAACGATGGTCGTCCTGACAGTTGATAACTCCTGAATGTGCAGAACAAAGGTCGACCTGTCCCTGATGTTACGTCCTTCCAGGATGTGTTTATATGTCCAAAACAACCATGATCAGGAAGTAGCATCACTAGCTGGCAGTTCTGTAGACTTAAAGCGTTTTTCGTGATACATCTTGTGAAGAGGTTGTATAGGTGTATTTAATAGAAAGCATTCTTTTTCCAGGACGTTTAAACAGGCAAGAAGGATGTTTACTTCTAAACAAACTATAATGTATAATACTGTAGACTCACTGAAGGAAGCAGTTTTCCTTAGGGCTTGGCATTCCTCCAAGAACTATATACATTAAATTTTACCTTTCTTGAACAAAGATTGAACAAATATTGTAGCTCCAATATTACAAAATATTTTCTAGCTTCTTTTGTTTGTAAGTCGAAGTAGAAGTGATTATTATTTTCTGTGATTTAAGAAAGCAGTCCCAATGTTCCCCCCATACTCAAGTTCACCCACCTTAAGACCTCTGGTCCTGTACCCTGAATACTATACCCAGTGACTTCCAGGCTTATCTGTTTAGGTATCTCTGAGGTAGAGTCATACTGTAGTTGTCAGATTTATCTCTAATTTAGGTATCATCATAAACTTTATATGCACTTGAGAAAGAATCTGAGTACCTCAAATCTGGATTGCGCAAGGTCATTGCAGCTTGAGGACCTTACCCGCATAGGCTATCATGGACTGTATTGTCTACCTCTCCCTTATTTGGATTCACCTGATCCCAAATCAAGCGTATCTCATAATATTCTACACTTTAACTTATTTTTCTATGGTATTTTCAGCTATTGTCAGATTGAAAATACAGTCTTACTTCTGCATCTGTGGATAAATCTGTGGTAATACGTCTGTAATCTCAATCAGCCACAGGTTAAAAATATTAAAAACCAAATTCCTTCTGTTAGACCTATTTCCTAAACAATACATAGCATCAGCATCATGCTAGATACCATAAGTAACTTGCAGATGATTTAAAGTATTCAGGATAATTAAACCTGGGCATATGCTCAGCATATGCATTTAGGGGGCTTGAGCATCTGCAGGCTTTGGTATGTAAGGGATACTGAGGGATGACTGATTTGTGTGACATTTGTCTTCTGCACGAAGATCATGGTTTGGCTTGTTTCTTCTAGTTTTAGATTTAAATAGTTTCTTTTCTAAAAACTATATTCATTACACGAGAGAATGAATAGTAGTGTTATTACTTTAGCAAACATCTACATGATTGTATTGTTCATTCAGGTATTTTATAATCTCCCATTACACAAGTGTCATTCATGTGACACTTGTGTTGTTCTGGACACACACACACACACACACACACACACACACAGACATTCCTGTGGAGACTTACAGAGCTTTCAGCATGCACTGTGCTTAGTCACGTTGGAAGCAGCAGGTGATGGGTAAGAATTGTCTTAGGACGAATGTAGGTGCAAAGCTGCCATTCCGTGGTTTCCAGCAGCTCTTTGTTGCCACACTGGGTATATTTGGAACAAGACATTTTGTATTGTTGTATAGATAGCTGAAAATGACTACTCATCTTTATGTTCAGCCATATGCATTGAAAGTTAGTGACGGATCAATACTAATGAAGATCACTCACTTGCTACTTTTTATATCACTAAATTAGGAATTGTATTCAGTCCCTTGGGATTTGCCTAGAAAATTTAATTATTGATCGGAGATAGATGAAATCAGCTATTAAAGACACTGTTCCTAGGATCAATTAGGGATTTCTTATTATTATTGACTAAGTTTCATCCCTCAAAGTGTTCAAATCAGAGAGGAATAGTTGCCATAATTGAGAATAGTAGGAGATGTAAAGACTTTCTCATTAGTCATCCTTAGATTGAATTACTAAACTTAGGAGTGACTTTTATTTTTTATTATTTTCATGGCCATTGCTTTTTCATGAGAGGGAGGATTTGCAAGATAAGGTAAAAATGATAAAAAAAGAAACTTAAGCTGACCCTCATGAAGTAACAAACAGTTTACTATATTGATTTTAATGCTCTCTCTAGGGTTAGTTCTAAGTGTTTATCTGGGAGAATTTTCTCCCTTAATTACTTTCAAATAACTGCAACTTTTTCTTGTCCTAACAGATTCTCTTGTATCCACCACTAAAATTGATTAAAATTGAGCATTTATGAATAACTGCATTACACCATGTCATTATAATTATTTGATATTAAATCTAACACTGTTATTGTGAAATAAGGGATACTTTGTAAACCCTCTCTTGAAACAAAAAATATGTTATACCAAAAAAAAAAAAAAGGCAGGTCTTACAGGAAAATGCTTTTAAAGAGTGTTTTCATAGATTTAGAACAAAGGTGATGGACTGTAGAGGCCGGAGCTGCCTCTCCTTACTGCTGCCTGCTAGGCCAGCATGCAGCGGGTAGCGTGGGTTCCTGCTGCCGTCCCTGCTTGTGGGGATGGGGTACAAGCCAGGAGTGGGGTGTTAATGAGGGGAAGAAGGTGTGCAGCTGCCTGGAGTATTTATGGTGCTTCAGAAACCTGGAACCAGATCGGTGACTTGTTGCAGTAAATATTTGCATGTAAAGGTATTTGGGCAAAATAATATCCCCTATGATACACAGCAGATGCAAATGCCTCTTTAGTAAGTGAATGAGCATTAGATGGGAAAGACACTGGAACTAAGTGGTAGGCCTGGACACAGCAGTGGCTGTGGAAACAGGTCCTTGGACTGCTATCTCGCCCCTGTCCCCCATCGCCTGCAAGCCTGGCATGCCACTTGGAGCCACAGCTGCTCTCCCTGCTGTGGGGAGAAGAGCACCAAGTGCTGACTGAAGGCTGGAAACATGGTGGAGCTCTCGAAGGTCCTGGCCCTGGACAGGCTGCCCAGCTGCAAGATAAGCCTAACTCTGAGCAGGATATCAGAGTGGTTCATTTTCTGGATTGAGTCTCCTTGAGGTACTACTGTAGCCCATGCTGCTGCTGGTGATCTGTGCTGTCACTGGAGGCTGTGATATTGTCTGTGATCCTTGCTGCCTACGGAAACCATGTTGGAACCATGTTGATGTCAGTAATCCGTGCTGCCATCAGAAGCCGTGTTTTAAGTCTGTCCATGCCACCACTGGAAGCCATGTTGATATACATGATCCGCACTCCAGACAGGAAACATGTTGCTGTCCCTGCTATGGGCTGCTGATGGGAGACCATGATCTTTGCTGCTGCTGGAACCCATGAGAAAGTCCTTGTTCCATGCTGCCACCCACTGCTATGGGCAGGGAAGCTGCTTTTGTAGTGGTATTTATGACTACAGATTCATACCTGAAAATGAGAGACATTGAAGGCTTCTGTGACATCCCTTATCCCCTTACACTCAAAAAGAAATAGTCCAGACAGGAAGTTATTGAAGAGAGTCCTTTAAAAATGCAATATAAAGATGTGGAAGTGTAGCTCTTCACAGTTGATAGCTTCGTGGGAGGGTGGTTGGGGCCATGGCACATGACTCAGTTCTCTCTAAGGGCCTGGCCACTCAGAGTTCAACTATACTTCAGTGAGTGTATGGGCAATACTAATTGAGCTTGGTGGATCTTTTAGGGGGTAGGACACACGAGTGGGAGGACTAGGAAGTGAGTGTGATCAGGGTGCATTATATGATATTCCCAAATAATAAAAATATTGTGCTGCTGTATATGTGTAACTTATACTATAGAAAAATGGATGGTATGGATAAGGGGGGAAAAGCCGTAGAAAGTTCCACATTCTGTCACAGAGATAATCACTGCTAGCATTTTTTGGGGTATACATTTGAGCATTTTTTCTGTGAAGGTATATATTTCTTTGTGAATATATTGTTTTTACAAACTGACATTAAACTACATATAAAGTTCTGGAGTGATTTTACTGTCTTCAGTTTAGAAGTCCTAAAACATAATCGAGCCCAATTGTTGGGCAGATTTATGTTCTAGTTAGTGCCATAGTAAGTTTTTACATGTCTGTTTTTCTAGTTATGATAACTTATTAAAAGTTAGATGCTCGTCAGAGGTTATCAGAGAGATTTGGTGTGTAAGTATGGAAATCCCCAGTTACATTTAATAATAAAATAGGGGATGCCTGTTCCTTCCTTGTCTGATGTCTCCTTCTGTCAGTCTGTCTCACAGAAGTGGTTTCTCCCATTTTGTGTTTCCATTTTGTATTTGGTATCTCCCAGTTTGTATTGTGAGTTTCTCCTACTCACTTTTTCTTGTTGTGTTGTTGCCATTTGTGAGTTGCTTCCTTGTGTCTATTGCATCCTCTCCCCTTTATCTGTGAGTCCTTGAATTATAATCATTCTAAAGTCAATTGTTCAGGTGACTTACAGGGGTTCACTAGCTTGCAGGGTACATCAGAGAAGCAGGCAGTTGCATATTTATGACCTTTCTTCCTGATTCTAACTTCATAGGGAAAGAAACTTAATTTAGCATTAAGCCTTAGCAGTGCAAGTGAATAAGGTGCTTGCACTGGATAGTGTTAAATGAGTGGCTGAATCAGGGCTGGTGTGTGTGTGTGTGTGTGTGTGTGTGTGTGTGTGTGTGTGTGTGTGTCTGTTTAGGTGCTTGAGGGAAGCTTGATAGGCTAGGGTATCTTAGGGGTTACAGAAGTCTATGATAGACAGTGGCGGCACTGTGGCAGAGAGTTTACAAGGATCCAAGCTTGGGAGCGTGTGTTGGATACGGAAGTGAAGAGGAGGCGAAAGGCCTAGAGCAGAGCAGAGAACAGGCAGTGCACAGCAGAACTTGAGTGCAGATGAGCACTGGAACCCTTTAGGGCAAGAGGGAGCCA